TAGGTTTAGGTGTAGGGTTGGTGTAGGGCAATAGCACATACAGTTTGTACAGTATAAAAACCATTACGCCTATGGAATGTCCCCATAAAACATGGAAACACAACATGTGTGTGTGTGTGTGTGTGTGTTCATTTTCTTTATATTAAAACTAATAAAACATTATTATATAAAAATATATGTAAATATACTGTATTTTTGAATGAAGTATAATCCAGGCATTATATTCAAAAGAAAAAAATATTAAATATACTTTATATAAATAAAATATACTTATACTTATGAAGTATAGGAATATACTTTATATATTAAAAAATATCCTTTATATGTTCTTTTGATATACATGTAGCCTAGATATTCAATCCAAAAATATTTATAAATAAAGACATATATTTTATAAATATATTTTTCTTTTATATTGAAATTAAAGATGTTTTCTCATTAAAAAGTGCAACAAACCCGCAAACGTTAATAAACGTAAATAAATAAGCTCAACTTGAGTGAAAGAACCAAGTGACACAACTAACCTTGTTCAGGGTCCCAGTTCACCTGTTTCCTCGGATTCTCCAGCGGGAATTTCATGATGATCACGCCTTTCCGTATCAGAGCAAAATAAAGCTATCCTAACAGTATGTGCACTCGGAGAGACCAGTAGTCTACATTCTCGCTGTTCTCGGAGTGTTTTTGCTCCTTTAGAATAAGCTCACTCTCTCTACACTGTCCGTCAATGTGTGAGACCAGCCAACATCTCACTCTCAGCAGCTTCTCACTGGCATCACTCTGAGGAAAGCAAACAGCGCCAGACATCTGCGCTTGCCTTTGTTTCAGCGTCTCATCCTTTGTGTCACGATTCCCACAGGCTTTAAGTCATTACAACAGCTCTTTAGTCATTCGTGTTCGTTATAATAGCTGACATATGACCGTGTCATGTTGAGGTTGACAGATAGAAGTGATACTCACTGATCATCATCGCGTTTTTCCGGCGTGAATGCGGCACAGAAGCGGCTGTAAATAATTATTTAAATGACAATCTTATATACTATCTAACGTTATATGTTCTTAAATATCATAATATAGCTATAATTAATTATTTAATAATAATATAAATAATATTTAATTATTTTTATTATTTAAATATGGCAATATTATTTACGTTGCATATTGTTAAATATTATAATAATAATATTAATAATTCAGTTAGCACTATTTTCTCTATTGTAAATCATATATGGATTTTTTTTGTCAAATTTAATGTATTTTAATAGTTTTCAATTTGAATTAAATTGAATATATCTGAATAAAAATCTATATTCACTCATAAAAAAAATGTTCAAGCCATTCACTCACAGAATGATGTAAAAACAGGGTATATTAATTTACACCTTTACTTTAGGATACTGTGTATTAAAAAATAATAATAAATTAATATTTTTTTATTTTTAATATGACAGTAATATTATTATATAATATTTAACACAGCATGAATAATACATTAAATATAATGTGTATTCTGTATAATAATATTACTCTTCTGTATTACAAATGTGATTTGAAGTGATTTTTTTTTTAAATGTGAAATGTCTTTGAAATGCTAATTATGCTATCTCATGCTTAGCTCTGTGAAATCACATTTACAGGAAGGATATAGTTGTTCATCATCATTTGCTGATGTCTTCTGTATGCATTGAACAGGAACCACCCGGAGATTCCTCATGAAATATGGATGAGACTGTACTGCACCTCCACATCTATTAATAATGGCATGCCATCATACAACATGTGCATTTCTGTATATGAAATATTCAGTCTCAAATGAACACAAATCGTGGTATCATTTGGTAAATCATTGGACATTTTTAGGCTTTAACTAGCGGCTCATATTTTGTCTTGTGTCGTATTTTATGAGAGAAAATGTAAAAATTCATGTGTTTAAAATTGTCTCTGCAGTGTCGGATGCATGTGATTTTTTCATTTATGTATTACAAAATATTACTCAAAATGCATATTCAATCTTATTTCCAGTCGCTATGTCGCTAAAACATGTCCTTATCAATATCAAAATCAAACCTTCTTTTTACATTAACTATCACTCTATAGACTAATACAATCAGCAACAATAATCTCTCAATTATTAATTGGAAATATTGATATTTTATTTGTAAACATCACACTTTTTTCGCTTATTTCAGTTAATGTCATAAAACTACTACTAGCTAAGCCAGTATTAGTGGTGACAGTGTAAACATGGCTGAAGACAGCGAAAGGAGGAACAGACAAACCGAATCAATCGAGTGAGTCGTTTACACTGGAATCGCTCCGATTGATTCAAACTCAAACTCGATTCACTAGCAAAAACAGATCAAAAGAGTCATTCATTTTCGACTTTCGACATCGCTTGTAATGATTTTAAAAAGCACGTATAGTGACTCCGAATCAGTTAAACCATTGCGTCGCAAAAATGATTCACTGTTTTGAAGCGCTCCAATCGGATCGCGAATCATTTGATTCAGATCCGGAATTCGAAGCGCGTATCGCGAATCTTCTTTTCTGATTTTTTTTTTTTTTTTTTTTTTAAAAAAGAACAAAAAACCTCTCCTCACACACACACACACACACAGTATGCTCACTCTAACCAGCAATGCCCATCAAACCATTAAGGCAGTGCAGTTATTAAAGCAAAACAAAGAAAAAAGAAAGAAATTAAGTATACACAGATATACACAGATTTCCCTTAAGAAAATTAACCATGGTTGTATTATAGTAAAGTATTATCCATGTTTTTTTTTTGTTTTTTTGGCGAATTGATTACCATTTGTATAACCACAGTTCTACTATGCTTAGTGTAGCAAAAGTACCATGGTTTAACTATAGTAACCATGATTTAAATTTTTTATTCTATTAGCCTATTTATTTTATTTTATTTTATTTATTTTTTGTAGTAAAACCATGGTTAATTTTCGTAAGGGACGTGTTGCCAGGTCAACAAAAAACGTTTTGACTGTTTTAGGATTCTTCTGCTTCTAGGACTTGTCTAGATCAACTGTGAATAAAGAAAAGAGAGGTTTAGAGCCAGATTTATATATATATCAATCCAAAGAAAACATCTTTAAAACTGCTGCTGTAATGTTGTTGGCTTTAGCGAGACTACCCAGACTACTAGCTGAAGTTGGGGACGTGTGCGTGATTACGTTGCCGACTACATGACGTCAGACGCACGCATAGCAACCAACATGGCGACGGCGAAGCTTCGCGGTAGCGAGGACAGCTAGCCGGCAGCTTGCAGAACATCTGTGAAAGATGATAACTGTGAATATACAATAAAATATATTTATTTATCAAGTATTATTCATTTGACTGCATTACCTCAGACGTTCATATGAATGTTAAACACGATGATTTCCGGTGAAACGCGAGTATTTTGAGCATGAGATTCCTGCCAGAGTTTCTCATCATGGACACTAAACCAGGTAACGTTAAATTATATTCGCCAAATCAAATATAATAATTCTGACCAAACACAGACGATTATAATCTCTTCAAAATGTACATGGCATGTGCATTTAAGAGAGACGCGTTAAATCATGTAACTTTACAACACTAAACAAAAAGTACCATTGTTTTCTGATGGGTATGTTGATGTATAATCTCGTTTCAGGTGGTTGTGTTATTGTATTATTAATTGTATGAATAAATTGATTTTTATAGTCTGTAATGACTCTAATATTCTTCTTTCAGGTTACAGTCTTGGCTCATCTGGCAAACTGATGAATCAATACATGATTAAAGACCACATGCTGTCACATTACAGAAAGCTGTATTCAGCCAAAGGTAATTCTAATACATGCCACTGTTATAAGGATGCCAAGTTTCTTTTCTTTTCTTTTTTTATATACTTAACAACTTATTTTCTTTTTTTTCAGCTGTTGTGGACTGTTCGGTGCCTAAAAGCATGTGCAGCAATGTCAAATGTAGGTGAAAATAATTTTGCAATTTAAATATGTATAAAATATAATGTATAAATCTATATAATATATAATACAAATGTATGTAATATCTAAAATAAAATATTTGTTATGATATATAATATAAATGTATTTTAAAATATATTTAGCCAGATATTTCTATCATTTGTTTAATATAAATAATACAGTTATATTATATATAATAAATAAATTTATATACATTTATGTAATATATAATATTTTAAAATATATAAAATGTAATGTATGCATTAATAAAATGTGTTTTAAAATATATTTAACCAGATATAATATTTATAATATATGATTTATATTTTTATAAATGTATAAATTATATTTAATATATACATTATATTTTAAAGTATCTAAAATATAATGTATGCATTTATATGTATAAAGATCAGCTCTATAAATGTATGTAATATATCAAATAAAATATTTAATATTTCAAATAAAATATATTTAGCCAAATATGAATTGCTATACTAGTTCATTAATTAAAAAATGTCTTTATGATTTTCTGTAGATGTTGATCAAAAGCGCCGTGAGCAGTTAAGGAAAGACACTCGAAGTCAGTCTGGAAGATCCACTTCCCAGAGGAGCTCTAGTATAAACTCAAGAACTTCCCGTTCTTCTAAGAATGTAAGCTAACGTCTTTTGCTTCATGATATCACGCTGCTGTGCAGAAATTGTGTTCAGGACTGAAGTTTACGCTTTGTTTCCAGAGCAGACCCTCTGTTCAGGGTGACGACAGTGCCTATCATTGCCTGGACCAATCGCTGATGTCTTCACCCAGGATCAACACCTCATTCCACTCCAAACAAATCGCATATCCATCCCCTGCGAACCATTTCCCATCCGCCTCAGAGTTGACATACCAAAGCCCAAACGCTCACTGGCATCCCGCGGATCCATCCTGTGCCACATCCGCCAGTCAGAGAGGATACAGAAGCTTCCAGGATCCCACACAGAAGACCTACAGCGGAGACGTTCTGCTGAAACACACTCAACGCTTCACTCAGGAGAAACCCTTCACCCCGAGAACGCTCAAATCAGACCACAAGTCCACGCTCTTACAGTACCGCTATTACACACCTCCACGGAGGAAAGCTGAGGAGGAGAAATCCTCCTCTAAAATCATTCGACAGGAGACGTACCACAGGAGGTATAACCACTGATATATTTATAATGTTTCAAATGGTATTGTGGAGACCTGATAGTATAACGAGCCGTTTTTTCTGTTGTCTGCAGCACACGGTCCAAACGCTTTTCTCCACAGCTCGAGTCCCAGGCAAGTCTGTCTATCTATCTATCTATCTATCTATCTATCTATGCATTTATGGACTGATTTAAGCATTATTTATTTATTCATGCATTTATCTATTTATTTATCTGTTGATTTGTTTATTTATGGACTGATTTAAGCATTATTTATTTATTCATTCATTCATTTTTGCATTAATTTATTTATTTATGGTTTGATTTATGCATTATTTATTTATTTATTTATTCGTTCATTCATTTATGAATCTATCTATCTATCTATCTATGCATTTATGCATTTATGGACTGATTTAAGCATTATTTATTTATTCATGCATATATCTATTTATTTATCTATTGATTTGTTTATTTATGGACTGATTCAAGCATTATTTATTTATTCATTCATTCATTTTTGCATTAATTAATTTATTTATGGTTTGGTTTATGCATTATTTATTTATTTATTCGTTCATTCATTTATTTATGCATTGATTGATTGATTTAAGCATTTATTTATGCATTGGTTTATGTATTGTTTTATGCATTATTTATGCATGCATGCATGCATTTATGTATTATTTATGCATGCATGCAGTTATACATTATTTATTTATGCATGCATTTATGCATTATTTATGCATGCATGCATTTATTTATTTATTTAATAATTTTTTTTTATGCATGTGTTGAAGTGGATTGATTAGTTGGTTGATGGTGCTTGAAGTCGGTTGATGAATGTCCATACTGAACAGAGCTGGAATCTAGACAAAGAAGAAGTTCAAATATCAACACACCGACGTCTTATTAAATATTTTGCTTTTTTAATCTTTTTGCAGGCATTTACTCTTGATCACGAGTGGTCGGATGAAGAAACAGCTTCATTTAGACATCACGGCAAGACAAACAGGTTTAGAGATAGTGAATATCTTCTCTCATCCTCCAGGTAAAGGATTCAGACATCTGCCAGATTTCTGTACATCACACAGATGTCTCATGGATTTATAAAGGATTTATATAGTCATAGAAAGCATGCACAATCTAAAATTATGTATATCATGGAAAAAATACACTTTTGCTCCCAAGAAAGTGTAATAAGCTTGCCAAAACAGTTACATTATGTAACAGATGAGACGTTTGAATGTAACAGAGTCTTACATTTTTACAAGGCATATATAAAAGAAAAGGCTCTTTTCTTTTGTTTCAGGATTTCACCAGAAGGCATGAGGTCTCCCATAATGAGAAAGGTTTCAGCAGAGTGAGTGTCCTACATCAAACCACTGAAACACATCAAACATTACACTTATGTGGCATTTAAACCACTACTGTTCATTTCATATTGTTAACAAAGCAGAGACTTTTAGAAATAATGATGTACTTGACATGATATAAGAATAGAATCCTGCATACAGTAATAACAATCATTTATTTTGTCAGTTTATTCATGTTCCTGTGTCATTCTCTGGACTTTCTGAACTTGTTCTTTTCACCAGGGAGGAGGAATTAATGCACCTGGAGTTCATTACAGACGTGACGAATGAGATCTTAACACAGGGCCTTTATTCTGACAGGTGTGTGAGAATGTTTATTTTGTAAGGAGACCAATTGCAAGGCATTTTTGTTAATTTCTCTTGTCTAATGAAGTATTTGTCCTTTCAGGGTACTGAAGAGAGTATTTGAACGTCACATTGATATGAACAAACATCGATTAGATGAGGTGAGCATTTTGGATTTTACAATTCATTTTCATTTGGTCTGATGCATTTATATAAAGTGACTTAATTGAGGAAAAGCACAAACGAGTCTTCAATATCTTTTTGTTTATTGTTGCAATAACATGGGACATTTGAGCTCACACTGAACACTAGATTTGTTAAGTTGTGTAATATATTTTAATGTACTGGATTTACCAGTTGTTTTAAAAATACACTATTTTAATTTTTTTTCATCAAGGATGCATTAAATTGATCAAAAGTGACATTTATAATGTTACAAAAGATTCCTATTTCAAATAAATGCTGTTCTTTTGAACTTTCATTTCATTGGTGAATCCTGAAAAAAAATTATGTATCACGGTTTACACAAAAATATTGTGCAGCACAACTGTTTTCAACATTGATAATAATCAGAAATGTTTCTTGAGCAACAAATCCGCATATTAGAATGATTTCTGAAGATCATGTGACACTGAAGACTGGAGTAATGATGCTGAAAATTCAGCTTTGATCACAGAAATAAATTACAGTTTAACAGATATTCACATAGAAAACAACTGTTTTAAATCATAATAATATTTCACTATTTTTACAGTATTTGTGATCAAATAAACGCAGCTTTGGTGAGCAGAAGAGACTTCTTTAAACAGTACAAATAGTGTAGAGTTGTGATCAAACCATATGGGTTACTAGTACTAAAAGGAGAATTAACTGATGGATGATATATGATACAGACCAATGCCATTTAAATGAAGATGTCCACATGTTCACTTAAACTCAGTTGATATTTTTACACAATATTTAATTGAAATTCACACAAAAGCAAATTGGTAGGTTTTGAAACAGACAGATGGGAGGGTTAATATTCCTTTTAATCAGCCAATTCTGATCATCTCAACATGGCCAAATATTGGCTGATTTATAGGCGTCTGAATAGTGGTCTAAAAGCACAGTACATCAAGGCCTGTCTTTAGGGCTTTTAAACAAGATGAATATTGATGTTCGTGTTAATGAAATGCAAAACGTGAAGACTTACTCCATCAGCGTGTCCGTACTGAATACATCAGCATAACAGCCTGCGAACATCACGCCAGACACATCCTGAGAGAAACACAGACACACACACGGTTAGGATTTCAGCTTCTGTTCGTGTTTACACACAGGAAAAGAGGAATCATCACTAGAGTTGTTCCTCTTCACCTTTAAATGTTGTTTGTAACCAATTAGTTTGGTTTTCCAATCTAATCAACCTGAAAAACACAACTCTGCTGATAATCAGGAACACTTTTGATTACACTGGATAGGAAAAAGTGGACAGTCTCATCTGGGAAAGATACTGAATTTAAACACATGAACCTTTAGTACAGGAAACTATAGAAACTTGCTTACTAAAAAAAAACA